ATTGTGAAATTCATGAAATTGAGCCTGAGTTCAAAAAAATCTGCTTCAGAACTTGTGGATGTTCCGTGTTCAGGTAATCAGGATAAACCGATAGAAATGAATGGGAGCAAGCTTTCGGCTGCAGCTCCACCATTCAATCCAGGTGCCTTCCCTTTGACTCACCCATTAAACTCAGTTGCTGTCACTGGTGTCTACGATGTAATAGCCAACCAAGGCATGCTAGCAGAGGCAGTGGGATTCCCATCAGTTGCTGCCAGAGTTCCTTGTGGGCCTAGATCACCTCTATATTACAAACTAAGCCATTCTTTCCGCATGAAACATGGGTTTTTGAAATACCAAAGCCCCATCCCTGAAAGGACTGGACTTGGTTGTGCAAGAATCATGAATCCAGATGCACCTGAATTTATTCCCAGAAAATCTTGGCAAACAAATCATACAAGTGAAGATTCAAAAGTTTCAACTGATCCAAGTTGTTGGCAGATAGTAATAAGGGATTCTCCACAGAAGAGAAGCGCGAGGACAAGGACAAGGACAAGGACAGGACGCAAATGTGGCCAAGGATAACAAATTCAGAAAAAGCTCTTCAGATGCAGAGAAAGCAGAGCTAGCAAGGCAGATGCTACTTAGCTTCATTGTAAAGTCAGTTCAGCATGATTCTGATCCTGCAGATGACAATCCAGTTAGCAAGAAGGCAGCTGAGTTTCCAGAAAGTTCTGCTGAAGCATTTGCTAATGACAGTGCAATAACAAAAATTCTTTATGGGAATGAAGGAAAGACAACCCTGGTTTCACAAGCTCATAATAACGAAGAGCCAAAATCACCAGATGTAAATAAGAATAAGCATGGTGATGGAGAAGGATTTGTGGTCGTTACAAAGAGGAGAAGAAGCCGACAGCAATTCACAAACAGGGTAAGCGGGCTGTACAACCAGCAATCGATCTGTGAGTCAGTCCGTTGAAGATAAAGAGGAGAGATGAAAAGAAGCCATAGGGCAGGTCTTCTCCTTTACATATCCCAGTATAAGTGTGGTAGAGATCTCTTCACATCACAATTTTAACATTGTAGACATGTCTGAGAAGCAATGTAGTAGAGGTTCAAAGGCTCGTTGTATTTGCTAAATGCAATCATGAAGTTCACCGATGATTGGTTCAATTTTTGTTGATTAAGAAGCCCTTGTGGGATGTTTAACAATGTATTTAGAGGTTTGTTTTTCTCTTACCCAGAAATTTTGTTGAATAATGAAAAATCTAATAGGTTTTTGTCACCTTTTCAATTTTATTTACTTTATGGTTGAAACCTTTGATGTTATTCTTTTCTAATGACTAGCTATTTATCCTCTGTTAGTGCTATTGTGATTCACATAGAATGATAAAAATAGAAAGATTACTTTGTTGACACGGAATTAACAAGTTTAGATATGACATTGTGAGAAACTGGTGAACCTGCCCAGCTCCTCTTACTTGAGGGACCGATATGAACTCGACTAAATAGTCCAAACTCATGTGGATAGATCGTGGCTTCTATTATCATATGTATGCATTTCAAAGATTCCTTTAACTTTAGGGATTAATTCGGAACTAACACGCCACAAGAATGGTTGTTTGGTGTTGAGCGTATCACAAACTCAAAAGACCAAAAAAGGTCAAGGACAAATTATAATTTGTAACTTTAAAGTATGCACCTAATTTTTATTTGATTTTTCGGAGTTTTATTGCAGCAATCAAGTTTTAATTGAGTTTCAATTTACTGTTTACATCAAAAATACCAATTTATTATGAGGGAATGATTTCCCGTGCCCAATGCATGATTTGGGTAAAATAGTATATTTGTTTGGTGAAAAATTTGTTAGTGTAGGTTAGGAAAAATCTTACTTTATTTTATCTTAATCTGAGAAGAAAAAAAAAGAAGATAAAACTCCCCCCCAAAAAAAGATATATAGTGAAAATTTGAGAGATATTTTGAAACAAAGAGAAATATCTATATATTTGAGAGAGAGATTTTTTTGTTGTATAAATATACCCTTATGGGCACGTCTTATAACGTCTTTCTATCGAAGCAAATTAACAAATCTTGATGAAATGGTTAGATTGAAACTCGGTTAAAACTTTAAGGATGTAATTGTATCAATTAAAACTTTAAGAACCAGATAAAAATTACGTACATACTATACTTTAAGGGTATAAATTATAAACTACCCAAAAATAAAAAAAAATTAATATGAGAAAATGTGACTTGTATTGCTCCGAAAGAATGACCGAGAAAGTTAAAACAAATACGCAATAAAAGAGAATTAGGGGGCACTTTTGATAATAATAGCTTAGAGAATAATTTCCACATAAAGAAGCTTTTGTCTTCCAAGCATATCATCTATCTTGGAATTCTATGCTTGGAATTTATGCCAACCTCGTGTTCATATTTGGGCATGAATTTAGCTTTCATGAGTTATGGCCATAATTGGATTCATCCAATTGGATTCACCTTATAGATGGGTCATGTGTGAGTTGAGTCAATTAATTTAGAAAAATATAATTTATACAATTTAAATATGACACAAACTTGTCTTAAATTAATGATACAAAATACAACATGTTAAAAGCATGCGAAATGTAAATGAATTTACCAAATTATGAATTCAGTCTTCAAGCCATAAATTAGACTAACCCACTAAAAATTTAATAATAATGATAACTCGTTAAATTATTGTTTTAAATAAAAAAAATTGCATTATAACGTTATGCAAATCTTTTTAAAATAAAAATAAAATTCTGCTTCCGACCCTAAAATATAACAGAAAAGGGAAGGGAAAGTATATTTGTCCTTAGATAAGGTTCTTGGGAACTTCCTGTCGCAATCTTAGCAGAATAGAATTAAAGGCCTAACTATTTCTTTTCTTGTGTCATTTATTTTCACGAGTTTAAGACACTTCTTGTCATCTTTATTTTATTTTGTCATGCACTATTATAAGAGAAAAAGAACAATTATTTTCAAATATATGATGATAATATTCAACAAAAGGGGCGGTGACCATTAAGTCAACCGCTAACATCAATCTCATCTTTATTTTCAGAAGCATAGAATTCTATGGGTGGTCCAGTGCCATTTCATATGCCCAGAAAGTCAAACAGTACCATTGTTGCAACTTCCAACAAATTCCTAAGCTAAGCTTTAGAAGAACTTTGGCAGTGTGTAGATTTCTTGAATGAGATGCCTCCTCCACCTGCACCTTTTGAATTTTGATGAGGTTTGGATAATCAAGATTATTATTTCAATAATCACCTAAGTCACCAGGAAAGAGAGTATAGTGAGACTTAAATGGGATGTACCCATTAGATAAGAACCAATGATACTTGTAATCTCCTTAACAAATCGATGCAATCAATCGAAATAAGAGATTAAATGATGTGATATTATTATTTTAATTTTAAATGTGTAAAATTAGGAATAATAATATTATTATGATAATATCACATCATGTGATCCCTACTTTTAATTTTTTTTAATTAGTCTAATATTACTAAATATTTGATTAATTCTTTAGATGATTACCAAGGGAAAAATTGAAACTTAGAATGGGTAAGTTTGTAAGGCGGTCATTGTCTAATTGTCTTTAATGACAAGAAACCTTTTTAAGAAAGATATGGCGACTTAACTACTTCTTTAATTTAATCTTAAATACTTGTAATTAACCACACGTACTATAAGAATCAAATGAACAATTATCCATAGAAAGTAAATACAATATATTTTTAAAATTATCCCCACACCACTAACAATAATACGTAGAACTGTAAACTCAGACGTCTTCAACTTGAATTTTAGTAATTTTTTGAGACTAGGTTCATAAGTGATTTATTTCTCGTGAATACCCTAATTTTAACGTAAATAATCTGTCTTTATCCGAATTGAAGAGGAAATTAATCAAAATATATGTAAATTGACTCAAATATAAAAAAAAAAAAAAAAAACAATTATAGATGCAGAAAAATCTTATCCGTATAGTTCTCATGTGAAGTACCTGTGACTTTGAAATTGAAGTGTCCATCACCATTAGAGAAAGTGGGCCACTACAAATTGGACTACCAAACTTAATGTAAATCACTACAATATGATGTCTATTGACCTGGCAGTGGCAGAACATTATTAATTACAGAAGGTCTGAAAATAGAAGTTGGTCTGAAAAAAACAGGACTCTCTCACTTTGCCCTTATTGCCATTAAGTTTTACCATTAATGATGTAGATACTACCCTCTTTTTTTTCTTTTTTGTTTTTAACGGACAGAGTGTTCGAATCAATTTATACTCTCTTCGATTAATTTTTAAATTTACAACTCATTGATGATACTACTTAAACTACCTTTATGCACCACTTCTTTTACACTATACATCCCTTTTTTTACACCACCTAATGTGACATAATCAGAGCAATTAGAAATTTGATAAAATCTTTGACATCTACTAATTTAATGGTCTAAGTTTAATGTGTTGCATAAAGATAGTGCAAGAAAGTTGTACACCCGGCCCATAACTAGGTTCATTTTCGGGTGAATGACCTCCTTATCTCACTAGTGAGAGTTTATTTGTATGGTTTTTGAGGACTCTCTTTTGCTCTCACCTTTTTTTTTACCAGGAAAAAAAAAAATCTATAGAGCTTCTCATGCATTAATACTACAACAATAATACTATTTAAACTTGATTTTACTCACAATTATTAGATTGATAGTGGATCCCAAAAAAATATTGTAACCTATTGTCAATCTAATAGTTATAAGTAATTAGATTAATAAATTAATTTCAAGTAGCATTGCTCATGCTCTAAACCATTTTTTACATTTGATATTATTAATTAATTAGGGCTAATTGGTGTCTGAATGTACGGCAAAATATAAATAGTTTTAAAAAGGATGTTAGTAATCGTTATATGAATTTATTTAAAATTATCGGATAAACTTATTAAAGTCTACCTTTTTTATATTATAGATTATAAATGTAACATTGTAGAATTCAAGCTCTTTGCTGTCACATACAAATAGTCAAGTTACTTACAAGGTACATCAAATTAGCTAGGGGTGTTCAAATTTTCGATCGATCGCAAGTTCATACCATATCCGACCCTACCCTACCCTACTGAACGGCTAGCCGCAAATATCGGATAGGAATGCGGAAGAGTTTTTGGTCTTTTGACAATTTTCGGATAGGAATGCGGAATAGTCATCCATTTCCGCATTCCTATCCTACCCTAGCCACAATAATTTTATATATATATATATATATATATATATATATATAAACTAAAACAACCCTAATCTACCGAGTCCCAAGAGTGTCTGTACCTCACACCTCACTCGATCACTCCATAACTCCTTCTTCTCTCTCTCTCTCTCTCTCTCTCTCGTGTGGTCTGGCTTGGAAGGTCTGATCGCAGACCTTCATCTACAATAACAGATCGGTGCCGCTGTGCACGATTTGGTCATGAGTTGCAAATCAATGCGCAATTTGATCGTGTCTGATCTAAGTTGCAAATCCTATGTTGCAGATCCATGGGTTTTTATCCTATGTTGCAGATCGTGATGGCCTGGTCTTTGTTCCTGTGTTACAGATCTGGCTATTGTCATTTTGTTTGTGTATACTTACGAGTAAACCTAAATATGGCCTATGGTTGGATATTGTTTGCATATGTCTTTCTTTTAAAATGACAAACACCACCTCTCTCTCTCAAATATTTTTTTTTTTGGATGGTATTGGTATGGTGGGTAGTATTTTGTTGGAATGGCCTTGGAACCAAGAGTAGTGATGATACACAAAATTAAATAAATTGTGTATGTTATTTAGTTAAATTGTTAAAATGATCCAAAAATTAATTGTTATAAAAATGTTTACACGATTTCCTATCCGATTAATCGGATAGGAATACCATACCTATCGAGTAGGGTGGGTCAAGAAAAAACTCTTCCGTAAAGTATCGAGTAGAAAGACAAGAAAATATATTTCTTACCCGTCAAATAGGATGAACACCCCTAAAACTAACAACCTCTTGTTGTGAAAAACAAAGATAAAACTAACAACCTCTTGTTGTGAAAAACAAAGAGATGACATAATACACAAAGTTTCGATCACATAAAAAGAAAATGTAAGTAATCTTATTTTAACATATGAAGAAATGACTTTTCTGACACAAAACCTTAGCGCTTAAGTTATAATAGAACAACGTTATTATCACGGCAAGTCCACCCTCTACTAGCCGCCTCTTGTAGTTGCCTTAATTTTCCAATCCTTCATTTATAATTATAGTGTTCAAATCACCCAATAATCAAACGATATTTCAGAATTATAACAACCCAATGGCTCAATTGATCAAATATGTCTTATAATAAGTAAGAACTCTCGATACTTTTTATCCTTTCTAAAAATTAATCATTTTAAAGATTAATCACCCTTATTCCTTGTGAATAATCTTGGAATAGTCGGCACAACCCCTTTGACATTCTTCTTTTTCCCTCTTCTTCCCGCACAAACAAACACATTTTGGACACAGAAAAACACATCCAAGCACAAAACCTTTATGTTTTCTCCTCTGACTCCAATTAAATAAATGCATATAACCCATTTTGAAGTGATTATTAGACAAAAAATAACGTAATCAGCTCATAATTTGGAAGCCATCAAATGAAAAATCTTTCAGACGCACCAAGAAGATCATCATGTTCCATCAAGACATCAACATGTTTTTCCCCCAAAAATAGACATCAACATAACTCCAGAATAAATTTCTTAAGAATATATAGATACAAACGTTTTAATAAAATTTATTGGTAGTGGAGGAAGACAAGAACTAAGAAGATGAAGATGAACCGTCTCTGGGTGAGTGAAGAGGAAACAAGGGTAAGAGCTCTGGTGGGTCAGACCCTCTGGGTGTACTGAGCGGACTCGGGTGCAAGTAAAAACCTTTCTCTGCAATGGCTCTTTCTTCTTCCTCCATAGGTGACCTTGGCGTTCTTGGACTCCCACGTGCCAACAGATCAAAAGGTGACACAGGTGAAACCATAACCATCTCTCCACCAAACCCTACAAAGCTCCTTTGCCTAGCTGAACTTGGGGTTGACCCACCAGACCCAACTGAAACACCACCACCATTGTTGAGCTTGATCTCGAGCTTGCTTGCACTCTGCCTGCGTTCATGAAGCTTAAAGGCTGGTCTCCTAGGACCCATCTCGCCGGTGTTGGGTTTTCCGGATTGGCGTGCCGGAACGGTGACTGGAAGCTTTTGGGTTGACGGGTCTTGGGTTACACCAGTGAGTCTCTGGACTACAGCTCGGAAGGTTGATGGGTCCGCTTGGACAAAGGTGGTGTTGGGTGTTGAGCTCGAGTCGTACCCTACCGCCACTGATGATGATGACCCATATGCTGAGATGTTGTTTTTGTCGTTAGGGTTAGAAGAAGCCATGAAAATAGCCGGAAGTGTAAGAGATGAACACAGTCTGAAAAAGAAAGCGGGAAGAGAGGCATGAAATGTTAAGTTTTTCTTCTGTTTATAGAGGAAAAGGGTATATAAAGAAGGGAGAGAGAGAGACTCTGAGAGAGAGTTCTCTGGTTCCCGCTCAAGGTGCTTTATGGAACATAGAGTAGTGTTGTAAATGTCAGATACTCCAAGGAAGAAATAGAAGAGTACTAAAACAAATCTGAATAAGTTGCTTTTTCCACTCTACTTCATTATCTATCACTATTATTGCTTTCAGATTAGCCTTAATTTATTACCAAAAAACAAAGGTTTTCATGGAAAGTAACACATAATTTGCAAAATTCTTGTGGTTGTTGTAGTCCTAGTTTAGGTAAAAATCTATGGTTCTAAACTGTGAAAGTAATATTATATCTTAGATGATAGTTTCAGTTTTTCTAATGGGTCGTTTTCTAGATGAGTATAACCAAAGGAACAGAATAAAAACCAGATAGACATAAACATAGCCTTGATTGAAATTATAGACTGAAATCTGTAACCATGAAGTGGGCCCAAACATGGATTGGAAATAGCAAAAAGAGTTGAATTTTTTTTTTTTTCCCATTAATCTCCGGGGTTGTGGGTGGGTCGTTGTTGAGTTGAAAAGTTTGAATTTTGAAAAAGGAGTGTGTGTGTAATAAATGGCAATGAGCTGTGCCTCTGGGGCAATGAATGATGAGTCATGCGGGGTCAGCGGGGCACTGAAACGGGAAACGGGAAACGAGGAAGACGAAGCAGAAGCAGAAGCAGAAGCAGAAGCAGAGAGACAGACGGGTCAGACCTGTGTGTGTGTGTGTGAGAGAGAGAGAGAGTTACTATTGTTTTGATTTCTTTTCTTCTTTCTTTGGTAGTGTCAGTGTTGTGGTAGGGGTGAAATTTATTTGTTTGTTTGTTTGTTTGTTTTTCAAAGCAGCACTTTCTTTTCCCCTTAGTTTGCGTGGGGGAAATGAACTTTGACAACAGAAAAAAGTATCTGCCAGCCTTGTTTCAGTTCTCTTTCTTTTGGCCTTTTGGTTTGTTTGTTTGTTTGTTTGTTATTTGTTATTTGTTTCTTTGCTTTACTCTTTCTTCTTTCTTCCACTTACTTGCTTTGCTTGGATGGTTTGTTTTTGTTTTCTAGACTTTCTCCCTTTAAGGAGGGATAGCAATATCACACTAAAAAGTTTTTTTCCATAATATTTCTACAAATAATTTTAGCCCTTTGATCTTTTTTTTTTTCCATTCAATGGTCAAGATTAGGGTATTTATGAGATTTTTTAAAGGTTGTCAAAATTCGAACGCCGCACGTCTAATTTTACAGTTCGTCTCTATTATTACTTGAGTTACCTTTGAGGTTATCTTATTTTTTATTTTTTCTTAATAATTAATTGTATAAATGATAAACTAAAATAAAATAATAAAATAAACAATCTTGAATAATTGCAAAAAAAAGAAAGAATATTCGATACAATTTTTTTATTTTTCCTTGTTTCATTTATCACAAAAAAATCAATAAGGCCAAAGCATATTTAATTAAAATATGCGATGTTTCTCACTTTAATCTTCATTCTTTTAATTTTAAATTATCGTTCTCAATGCAATTATTTTTAAGTCTATGTTGAAAACTTTATGAACTTAGACCTTAGCGTAACAATTTCATTAGGACTATTTTTGTACTTCAACTTAGCAACTAGTGTATGACATGATCCAAATCATTTGCTCCAAAAGTAGCTTGCAGAAACAGTGCTAATAATTTAACATAATATTTTCAACTAATTATGTGCTAATAGACAAAATTTAATAGTATTATTATAATCATCACTCACTTTTTCATTTAATTATGCCAACGAACATAACATTAATTCGACGTTTTAAGTTCAATTATCATATTCTGATACTATTATTGTACAAGATAATGTGACACTAGCTCTAATTTTGTTCTTTTTTTCACTCTTATCTATTACTTAGCAAATTATAGTGACAATCTCCCCCTCCCCCCAAAATCCTTCATACCTTAAAAAAAAAAAAAAAAAAAAAATTTAATGTTGTATGAACAAGTCATCTATCGATTACCTTGGGTTTCACCATGTTGCCCATCCAGGGAGGGAGAGAGAGAGAGAGAGAGAGATTCCATCTGTTTGTACTACATCAAAAAAGTTTTAAAGGGTCAATCACATTATCCATTTTTTTAATAAAAAAAATTGATTATTGATAGAATAATTCATAATCACTGAATTGACAATGAGCTCAGACATTTGTTGGGATTCGTTATTAATCTAATAACTGTGATGAATTAAGTTAACAAATACTGCAAACGAAAAATTTTGTGTTGCCCAAATCTTGTATACTAAATGCATCTGCACCGCACACCAAATTGAAAAAAGCTAATTTTTTGGACCCCACAACAAAATATGTGCGGTGCAGATACATTTGAGGCATAAAATTTGGGCTAAAAAAAATTACAAACTAGTCATAAAGCCAATTCTAAGATGTCATGGGTGGGTATAAAAGTATACTCTTGAGAAAGTATGATTGGTAGTAGATGCCAAGGGAACACTAAAATCATAAAAATCTTTTTTTGTGGAGGACAGTATCATTACCAAGCAGACTAAATTCCCAAATGATATCAAGGTCTAGCTAGGATTAACTAACTAACTAATATCATTGTTCATCTCCCCCCAAAACAACCCACTTCAACAAGGTGATTATTAAATAAGCAGAATAATTACTTTTATGACCCAGCTAAGGTTTCATGTTCCTCAGTTGACAACTTTTGCTTTTTGTGACCAACTAAGGGCTTTATAAATCGCTTAAATTAAGGACGGACGGACGGACACTGTCTTTGTTTTCTCAAACCTACCTAGGAAGAAAGCAAGATTGACCTTTTAGGAAAAGGAAATAAATAATATTTTTCTTATATATTATTATGGCCTATATATATAGCTTGAGCACTTCCCAAATATTTTCTGTGGTAGTACGGTGGCCGAATTAATCCACTTTATTTAAACTTTTTATTTGAGTATTTTTTTTTATTGGTTGTGAGTGGTAGTGGTGGCGGTGGTGGTAGTGGTGGGTTGCTCACTGACTATCCTTATGTGTTAGGAGTCTTGGTCACTCTTTCTAATAAGATATTATAGAAGAGACAATCCTTATGTGTTAGGGGTCTTGGTCACTCTTTCTAATAAGATATTATAGAAGAGACAGCCTTGCTAGGCAAGGCCAGGCCGAGAAAAAGAAAGAATAATAATGTTACACTAACAAAAAAAATAAAAAATAGCGAAAATTAGGGATCAGTTCTATTTGGAAGACTCCTAGTCTTAAATATTTTTGTTATTAAATTTTAAATTAGTAACCTTATTTGGTAGTTAAGTACATTTTGAGTTTCTTTTTTTTTTATTATTATTATTATTAAAATATCTTTATTGGTTAGTTTTAATGATATAAAGAGATTCATAATTCATTAGGAGAGCGATTTTCATAAATCTTGACATTTTTCATGGTAAAATAAATTCTCATAATTGATTTTCATATCTCCTCCATGTTAAACTCAAATCTTAAATTCATAACTAGGAGCGTCGATGATAATACTAATAATTGTCTTTTCATGAAGTTTACTGCTTAAATCAATAAATAATGCAGAGGTTCCCCCTCCGTATTTATTTAGAATACACAAAGCTTATGCTTTGACAACTATGTCTCTAGTGAATTTTAAAGAGTGGTAATGGGACGAACTATAAATTCAGATATTTTAAGTTCATATCTTGACAATTATTTGAGAGTAGGTCATGAGAGATTTATACGTCATAAATACCCTAATCCTAGCCTGAATAGTCTACCTTTAATCGAACTAAGAAAAGAATAAGTCAAAATACACGTAAATTGATCCGAATAACTTTTATGATTGAAAAAAAAAAAACTAGAGACCTCTAGTGCCATGTGATGGGCACATTCATGCGTAAATTCTCCAATTGGTCTACTGTCCAGAATTTAGAGCAATACGTTTTGGATAAATTTGTGCTGCAAAATCAGTGGGCTGTAGCTTCACCAATAAAATCTCTGCATTTTTCTATGAATGTTCTTAGACAAAAAGGCCAAGCCTTGGGGCTATCTATTGAGTTGCCCAATCCGTGAGGCCGATAGCTGCGGCCCATGGTCCTTCCCATTGGCCAGCTTGGCAACATTCGGCCCACCAGATGACAAAGGTACAAACAGCCATTACGCTTTCACTTTCACCCAATAATAGTGGAATTTTTAATTAAATTTTCCTGAATTATAAAGATGGGTTTCATTTAAGTTTATAATAGATGATTTTTCATTAAATAAAATGATTAGAATACGTATCAAAATTGTTCTACACCCATTGATTTTGGTTGATATGATATGTAATCTTTAATTAAAAAATAATAAAAGTTTATATGTGTTATATTTTTATTAAATAAAAAAATACAATATTGAAAAATTATTTTTTTTTAAATTATTGAATAGGATCAGAATGAAAGTGTTGCGTGTGGGTCGCAATCCTATGTTCATGACTCAAATCCAACCTTCAGTCGGGGTCTCGTGGACCCACCACCGCCTTCTTAACTTCATCCTTTAAGACAAAGCAGACAAAAATAATTTCTAACAACCTTACAAAACTTCGGTATCAATTTTTTTTTTTTTTTTGTTTATTATAAGATGTTCAGTTTTATCGATTATTTTTTTCGAACTCTGTCAATTAAAATAAATTGTCAATATAACTATTATTATTAAAACCAGAAGAATAACAATCAAAACATTGTATAATTATGTATTAAATATGAGCGATGAGTGTTTATTGTAGAAGACTTTTTAAAATCCTGCAATTTTAGTTTTAAAATAAACTATAATATATAATTTTGAATTCAAGACATTATTAATTTGTTCGTCAATCGTGTCGAGTGAGACAGATTTGTGTCAAATTCTTAACGGGTTTGTGTCAAATAATATTTCAATCATACCCGATTCGTTTATTAATTTTTGTCTTAACGAATTGTGTTATATTGACTTTGTGTCGTATATAAATAATATATAAACGAATCGTATTATATATTTCTTTTGATAAATTTTACTATAATCAGACATAAATTAATCACTATAGTTGAAGAAATTATACATAATTAATTACTCGTTAAATTAATACATAAAACATAATTTGTGAACAAAGTGTAATTAATATGCAATTTAAATTTTTTTAAAAAAATAATTAATATTTAAAAAAATTTGGTGTCATAAAATTGAGTAATACTATTTAAACTTAAAAATTTAACTTAATTTACTGACATAATGATGTGACTTTATAAAAATTATTTGATCAAAATCAATTTCTAATATTTAATGAAATTTACAATAAATTCAAAAATTACAATAAATTATGTCAATTAATTAAATCTCAATAACATTGCTCCATAAAATGACCAATAGAAGTCGTATAGAAAAAACAATTGTGGCATTAACTAATTTCTTTTAATACAACGATCAAGAAGAGTATTTGAAAATATAATAACCAATAAGAGTTAGAATTACAGATAAAACAAAAAATACAAAGATTATCATGTGGGGTTGGGGGTTGGGGATTGTCCTGTGCACGCCATTCAACGCACGAAGACGTCAGCAATTACTCATACCCTTCCAAAAATAGCTCCCTCCCACGTCCTCACCCAAAAAACGCACACCGAGCAATTCTCAGGTGTTTACAACTCCATCATTGCTTTCTACTCCGTCAACCTTTGATGCTCATTCACTCATTCTTTAATGATAATAATAACTTTCAAAACTCTACATCCCTCTCTTACCTCGTTTTTATTTTATCTTTATTTAATTTAATTTATATTTTATAATTAAAAATAAATACATTATTATTTAAAATAATATTATAAAATATATTAATATACGAGATTATTACTAGTTATATATTAATATAATCGCAACAATGAAACGGGGTATGATGCATCCCCCACTATGACACGTTTGATGAATATGAAGAATCATAGAATCAAAACAAGGAATGAGTAAAAAATCAAAGTTGATTCCGACATTGATGCATTAAACACACGCACCAGTCTTTATCTTAATATATTCCCGCCTTATCCATTCTTTACCCAAAACCTCACTTATTTTTCTTAATATGCCCCACCTTCCCACCGATCAACGCGTCATCCTTAATCACCACCGTCATAACCATCCTGAATTGTTACTATTCAAAAGTATGTAGCTATTAGATGCACCGAATATAAGGGTTCACCATAACAATATGGACCGTCACACACCCAAAGTATCCCACTTATCCTCGTATTTTCTCTCTCCCTGTTATATATGCACTCCACCAGCGTCCAAACCCTTCCGAAAGCTCTGTCTTTCTCTCGCCCTTCTCTTCTGAACTTGGTCGGCGAAAAACTCTAGGGTTCCGGAGATCCACTAACCGTAATGGGGTCGGCGTTGCTATCAGATCTGGCGACGGAAATCATTATTCCGGTTTGTGCTTTGATCGGAATAGTGTTCTCACTGGTCCAATGGTTCATTGTCTCCCGCGTGAAGCTCTCGCCCGAGCGAGATTGTTCGGCTCTGAACAACAACAAGAATGGGTACAACGATTACTTGATTGAAGAGGAGGAAGGTATCAATGATCACAACGTTGTCGTCAAGTGCGCCGAGATTCAGAATGCTATCTCTGAAGGTGAGACCTGTCATTCCAGAGATTAGCACCAGACCCTTTTCTTTGGGCGTTATTGAGTTTCTGTTTGTGTATCTATAGGTTCCTGTAGATCTTGTATTTGTCTGTTGTGTGGTTCTGGGAAAAAGTTGAAATTAAAACCAAAAAGAATCAGAGTGTTATGATATTTAATTTGATTAAAGGTGTAATACGAATCTAATTAAAAAAATACCAAATCTTTAGCTTATTTTTCTTATTGAGAAAACCATTGCACTGAACTAAGCCCGTTTGTTGTTTCTATGCTTGATTCAGAGTTTATTTTTATTTTTTGGTTTTATATTTCGTATTAATGAAAAATCGGACGTTTTAATTTGATATTTTCTTTCATTCCCCTGTATGTAGGGTTTTACAGGACGCAGTAAACAAGTTTTGTTTAATGACACTTTTATTTTTTAACGGTCCTTTTGTTCAAAGTACTTTATTTTTTTAACGTTCTTTATTTTATTAGTAAATAGTCATAACCCGCTTCTCCAAAAAATTGATCCCATTATATTAATTTTTTTAAAAATATATTAACTACAAATTAATTAAATATTAAATAATTAAATAAATGATATAAATGAGTGATGTGATATTTTTAGGAAAGAAATATATAAATTATTAAATATATTATAAAAGTAAGTGATGCGATTTGATATTTGAGTCAAACAAAGAGATGATAAGTGAGGTAAGTGATTGGTAATGGTTTTGAGGGAGAAAAAATAACTGGGATAAAATTCAAATACACTCCTATTTTATTATATAGATTATTGTCAAAAAGTTATCATTATAGGCAAGATTTGTATCAGGGGAAATGACATTTTGACCCCTTTAATTATGGACTTGATTTCATTTTATCTCTTAAACTATTAAATTGTTCATATTGCCCCCAACTATTTGAATTATTTCACATTATTGTAAATGTAAACATCTGATGTGTCAAGACACTTTAATGGATGAAAAAATTATATAAATCAAGGGCAAAATGGAACATTCTATCAAATTTTTAGTTGACGTTAACAATTGGGCAATATGAAACTAATCAGGTGCAAGGTCAAAAACATAATAGTTGAGGGAGCAATATGAAAAAATGTCATAGATGACGGGTTAAAGTGTCATTTACCCTTTATATTGTTTTTATTAATCTCCTTGCTTTTGTGGGAGTGATTGACGATTAATGAGTCCTGTCTACACTGCACGTGGAGAGAGTAAGGGCTTTTGGTTTTCAAATGTATAATCATCTTTTTGTTTTTACTATTGTTTGGTTCTTTGTTTAGTAAATTGAGGACATTATTGCTAACTGATGTAGCTGTCAATGCAAGCAGCGAAAGTAATTTTTTTTTTATTATTTATTATTTAAACTAAAATGGTCAGGGTTTGTTTGTTGGTATAGTGTCACTGTTTTCTGCGGTTGACACCGCTGAATGAAGAGTGTAATAGAAAAGACATGGTGCACGTGACAGTTTAGTTGTTGGCTGATATTATATCTTGAGTGCCACTACTCCTGTTGATAATGATGTGATGGACCTCAGCACTTCCTTTTTGGGACCAAAGTTTGGACACTTTTTTTGTTGGTTTCCTGTAAGATATGCTGGAATATTCTTCCCCGCCTTTTTTCTTCCAGGTGGTTGATTCACCTTTTTTGTTAGAAATGTAGCGCCCACTTCTTGGTCTTGCATACCTTTATAAACTACCCCAATCTCAATTTTTGGTGAGAGGGAAGAGGTGGTAGGGACTAGGGAGAGGTGGCATAATGCATGCAGAATCATATGAATAGAAAACTATGAATTATAAGATGTAAGGGAGACTTAGGAAGCACAATATGGACATGGTACATGCAGACACGGACACACTATGAATATTTGTTTGTCATATTGAATTGTAGGATTTACCCATCTATGTTGATATAGTCATTATTGTTTATATGTGGACATGTAGAATGCATATATAATGATAGTGATTGCTTTCTTCTTCTAAAGTCTTCTTATTTACTAAAATTTTGAAGCATTCTTTTGCTTATTAGTAAATTTTACGTAAAAGTTTGACATGACTAGTCTTAACAATTATAGATCCTTTCATCATAAAAGATAATTTTTGTCTAATTTTAAGCTTTATGACTCATGCTTAATTTTCAGTCCCAGACAATTACCTGAAAATAAAAGTTCAGTGCTAGACACAACCTATAAAGAAGTGTTGGACACCACCAAAAGAATATTACTCACATGTCTGAAATTAAAATTTTATCTTTAAATTTATGGAAACGGTTCAAGCATTATCAGACAAGTGTCTGCGAGAATGTGAGAAAGTGTTATTGTTAGGCATAGATACACCACTTTCCTAAGGGTGTCCGTGCTTTCTAGAGGGGACAATTATAATGATAATTACTTGTCAAGAAAGGGATACGATGAAGTGATAATTAATATAAACTTGCATTGCTGTTGAAGTCATGTTTTTTATTGGTCTCCTTTGGCTTACGTTGAAGTGTGCAACTGCATGCGAATAAAAAATAAGATCTGAGGGATGCATTGTAGTGACTGATATTGTTGGTTTGCATTCTTTTGTAGGTTTCTAATTATTTCTGTTAGGTTTATGTGATTGAGGTTTTTGTTTCCTTCTTTATTAAATTAAAAAAAAAACTATATTTTGCAATGTAAAAAGGAGGTCATTCAGTTTGTTTAGATGTAATTTTCTGCTCCAACCACTTCGGCACCTGTCATTTTGGAACTCGATGACCCCATCTGTGTTTTTTTATCAGGTTACCCCTAGTTTTCCTATGCTTTGCAAGATTGAACTCTCTGAAAAATGTAATAATTTTGTGTTTCAAATAAAACAATTGCTAGAAATCTGCTGACCCTGAGCCACCATCTGTCAGCTTGAAAGGTGCAGGCATGCAGGGTTTAGAGAGGCACAATTCACTGCATATTTTGAATTCTTTTGCTGCCATTGTGATAGCTCTCCTCCACATTCTTAATGATTTGCTTGTTGATTAATTAGATGTATTGCATGATAAGTGGTGTGTATTGTGAGCCGTAGTACTAATTTATAAATCATATCGTATTGCTATGTATGTTTTCTTCGCACTTGATTTGTTTTGTTGTTTGTGCATAGTTTATTATGCTTTACATAATTTTTTGTCTTATTTAGTTGTATTACTTTGTGCTAATATTTAAATTGATGTTATGTAACAGGTGCTACATCCTTTTTGTTTACTGAATATAAGTATGTGGGTGCTTTCATGGTTGCATTTGCAATTCTAATCTTCCTCTTCCTCGGCTCTGTTGACAACTTCAGCACAAGGAGCCATCCCTGCACCTACAACAAGACAAGAATGTGCAAGCCGGCACTTGCCACTGCCTTTTTCAGCACTGTATCCTTCTTGCTTGGTGCTATCACCTCAGTCCTGTCTGGCTTTCTTGGGATGAAGATTGCTACCTATGCAAATGCAAGGACAACCTTAGAAGCCAGAAAAGGTGTTGGGAAGGCTTTCATCACTGCATTCAGATCTGGTGCAGTAATGGGTTTTCTCCTTGCTGCAAATGGTCTTTTGGTGCTTTACATTGCCATCAATCTTATCAAGCTGTATTATGGCGATGACTGGGAAGGACTCTTTGAGTCGATCACTGGCTATGGCCTTGGTGGATCATCCATGGCTTTGTTTGGAAGAGTCGGTGGAGGTATCTATACAAAGGCTGCTGATGTTGGCGCTGACCTTGTAGGAAAAGTGGAAAGGAACATTCCAGAAGATGACCCAAGAAATCCAGCTGTAAGCCACATTGCTTTTCTAAAGTCCAAATATGTAGCATTTTCTCCTTGGAAGCTTATAGTAGTTTGCTTCTATCCTTACTTTGGCAGGTGATTGCTGATAATGTTGGTGATAATGTTGGGGATATTGCTGGAATGGGGTCTGATCTTTTTGGCTCTTTTGCCGAATCATCCTGTGCTGCACTTGTTATTGCTTCCATCTCCTCTTTTGGAATAGATCTTGACTTTACTGCAATGTGTTATCCCTTGCTCATTAGTTCAGTTGGAATCCTTGTATGCGTGATAACCACCCTCTTTGCAACTGACTTTTTTGAAATCAAATCTGTCAAGGAAATTGAACCAGCGTTGAAAAAACAGCTCATTATCTCCACTGTTCTTATGACTGTGGGTGTTGCAATTGTTAGCTGGATTGCCTTGCCCCCATCTTTCACTATCTACAATTTTGGAGATCAGAAAGTTGTGAAGAACTGGTAAGCTTTGCATTTTTTTCCATCCTCAAAAGTTCAAAGAATATATGAATCTAGGTTGTAGAGGGGCATCGATGTTGCTAATTTATGTTATGTTAGTCAGACAGTGAAGGAACTTAATCTAATTTGTGCTATGTAATATAGGAGTAAATGTTGGGTGCAATAGTTACTCGGTTAGACCACGTCTGCATTGTCATGTGGTGTAATTATCCAATAACAACTCACCAAATAAAAAAAATAGACCCCACTCATTTAAATAACTCTCTCTCCATGTAAGATAGTAACATGTAAAAATGTGGGGTCACCTTGTCCACTTATTTATTTAAATTGGAC